CTCTCTGGGTCTCTGTCCCCCTCTCTCTCCCTGGGTCTCTGTCCCCCCCTCTCTCTGTGTGTCTATCTCTGGGTCCCTGCTGCCCCACCGCCTGACCCCTGCCCCTAATCTCTGTCTCACTCTCTTTGGGTTAAAATATCCCCTCCCTGTCTGGCATCCCCCTTTCTGATCGCTGTTCCCTCTCCGCCACCAACCCCCCAACTCCTTCTGTCCCCCTCTCGCTCTGTCTCTCGGAGTCTCCCCTACGTGTCTCTCGCTCCCCACAGCCCCCGGCCCGGGCCTCTGCGCCCCCCAGGTAGCGGTCCCTCTGTCCCTTTATCGCGGCCCCTCGGGCCCGCCCTCTCTCCGCCTCCCGCTTTGGCGTCTCCAAGACTCCCCGCCCCTCAGACCTCGCCCCGCCCAGGCTGGGCTGGAAAGTGGCGGATCCGGTTTGTCCTGGGCGGGTCTGGAAGCGGAGCCGGCGGAGGGAGCGCCGGGGCCCGGGGCTACAGGAGGTTGCGGGGCCGCGGCAGCATGGTGTTGCCGGAGAAGGAGCAGGTGAGCCCCGGACCGGGGTCCGCGGGAGCGCGGAGCTGGGGGCCTCACCTCCAGGTTCTCAGTGAGGAGGGCGCTGGACACCCGATTCCTGGGTCAGACGCAGGAGGGGGATGGGAGGGTCCGGGTTCCAGGGTCCGGGGCGTGGGGGTCGAGACTCCTGAGTCTGGAGCAGGAGGGCGCGGAGGCGGGGCCCGGACTCCTGTGTCCGTGGAGAGTGCACTGGGTGGGTGGCTCTGTGTCCCATAGGGCAGAACGGGGTGCCCCCCACCCCACTTCCACCCCGACACTTGTTCCTGTACCCAGAGCTGGATCCCCAAGATCTTCAGGAAGAAGACCTGCACAACGTTCATAGTCGACTCCACAGATCCGGGGTGAGGAGTTCGCCCCGGGAACTGACCCCGGAGGGTCCGCAGCCCGCTGACCCCGCCCGCACGGCCACGCCCACCACGGGCCACGCCCCTGTCACGCCCCTTTCCCCATTCTCGGACTCAGGGACCTTCCCAAGGGCGTTCCCTGCCGGCACTCTCCCTCTAGGAGGGTTTGGCTCTGTGTAGACACCCCCCCACTGCCCATTCGCCATTCTCCCGCCCGGGGTCCCTGTAGACGCTCCAGAGCTCGGTTCTGTTTCTTTCCACCCCAGTGTCTCTTCTGTGTGTCTCTGTCTCTTCGTGTCATTTTTGGTGTCTCTTGCCTTTCCCTTTTGGGTATTTCTGTTTCATTCATTAGTTTATTCATTCATTCATTCATTCATCCATCCATGCAAGAAACCCTCACTCAGCGCTCCCAAGGGAGGAGGTCCCTTTAGTCTGATTCAACGGCCCTGCCAGTGTTCAGATTTCCCTTAGGACACGTGCTATGTGGCTTTGGGCAAATCATTTCGCCTCTCTGGGTCCCGTTTCTCATCTGAGCTTAAAAAGAGGCTTGACCTCCTGGGGTTCTTATGAGAATTAAACAAGTTAATGCTTGTGATATTCCTGGAACAGTGCCCAGCGCGGAACATGGGAAAATATCTGCAGTTCCCACTGGGAGGTGGCAATTATTACTGCCTCTTGACCTGGCCCTGTACTGGGTGGCCAGGGAAGCCACTTGACCGAGATAGGGTGTGTGCGTCCTCCAGGAGCTCCTGCCTTCAGTGATGGCCTCTGAACCGGATTCAGGCTTTCTAGTTTTTTGCATTTTTTTTTAAGACAGAGTCTGGCTCTGTTGCTCAGGCCAGAGTGCAGTGTTGGGATCTCGGCTCACTGCAACATCCACCTCCTGGGTTCAAGCAATTCTTGTGCCTCAGCCTCCCAAGTTGCTGGGATTACAGGTGCCCACCGCCATGCCCAGATTATGTATTTATTTACTGAGACGGAGTTTTGCTCTTGTTGCCTAGGTTGGAGTGCAGCGGCATGATCTCAGCTCACTGCAACCTCTGCCTCCCAGGTTCAAGCGACTCTTCAGCCTCAGCCTCCCTAGTAGCTGGGATTACAGGCATGTGCCACCACGTCTGGCTGATTTTCTATTTTTTAGTAGAGATAGGGCTTCTCCAGCCAGAGTTTGCCGGGTGTCAGAGGTCATCCTGAGGGGCTGGGACCTTGTCCAGGGGAGCTGGGGTGTCACCTCAGGGGCGGGGTTGGCTCTGCGTGTGGAGAAGCCTTCCGGGGCTGGAAGAAGATGAACAGGAGGCTGGATAGAGGGTCCGAGCAGGAGGTGAAGTGGCCTGAGCCAGCTCAGAGCTTTTGGGACACAGAGAGGAGGGGACGGGGCAAAGACTCAGGGGACAGGAAGGTAGAGCTTGGGGACTGATGCAAGGGAGAGAGGGTGCACCCATCGATGGATGGCTCCCGGATGGACGTGTGGTCTGCTGACTGGGACACGGCGGGGCTGTTCCTGAGATGGAGAACTCGGGAGCGTTAGCAGGCCCGGGAAATGGTCGCTGAGTGTAGTGTGGGACTCTGTACGCGTGAATGGCCCTGGGGAACCCGGGGGCGTGTGGGGACTGAGACTTGGGAAAGGTCTGGACTGATGTCCAGGATCTGAGAGGTCTGAGTTGTAGATGGTAATTGAAACTGAGAGTAGGTGAGATGTCACAGGGGAAAAAACGTGTCAAGTCAGGGGATTTGCAAGCTGGTGATTCTATGGCCAGTTGTGTGTGTGTCTGTGTTTCAAAGAGCGTTTAGGCCAGGTGCGGTGGCTCATGCTTGTAATCCCAGCACTTTGGGAGGCCGAGGCAGGCGTGTCATGAGGTCAGGAGTTCGAGACCAGCCTGGCCAATATGCTAAAACCCCGTTTCTAGTAAAAAATACAAAAATTAGCTGGGCATCGTGGTGGGTGCCTGTAATCCCAGCTACTCGGGAGGCTGAGGCAGGAGAATCTCTTGAAACTGGGAGGTGGAGGTTGCAGCGAGCTGAGCTCGTGCCACTGCACTCCAGCCTGGGCGACAGAGTGAGACTCCGTCTTTAAAAAAAAGCACTTAAAAATATCTGCTTTCCGTCTCTTTTTTTTTTTTTTTAAGATGGGGTCTCGCTCTGTTGTCCAGGCTGGAGTGGCACGATCATGGTTCACTGCAGCCTTGACCTGCTGGACTTAAGCAGTCCTCCTCCATGTGCATCCCCAGCAGCTGGAACCACCGCCATGACTTGCTAATTTTTAAATTTTTTGTAGAAAATACTCAGGTGTATTTTTTTTTTTTTTTAGTCTTCCTGTGTTGCCCAGACTGATATCGAACTCCTGGGCTGAAGCGATCCTCCCGCCTCATCCCACCAAAGTGCTGGAATTACAGGCGTGAGCCACCACACCTGGCTACTTCTTTTTTTTTTTCTTTTCTTTTTTGAGACAGAGTCTTGCTGTGTCATCCAGGCTGGAGTGCAGTGGCACAATCTCAGCTCACTGCAACCTCTGCCTCCTGGATTCAGGCAATTCTCCTGTGTCAGCCTCCTGAGTAGCTGGGGTTACAGGCGCCCGCCACCACACCAGGCTGATTTTTATATTTTTAGTAGAGATGGGGTTTCACTGTGTTGCCCAGGCTGGTCTTGAACTCCTGACCTCAAGTGATCTGCTCACCTCAGCCTCCCAAAGTGCTGGGATTAAAGGCGTGAACCACCATGCCTGGCCCTGCCTACTTCTTTCTGTTGAGTTACTCACCTGGCCTCTGCAAGCATTGAGTTTGAGAATCATGTAGAATCATGTAATTATCATGAGAATCATATAGTATCATGTCATCATCATGGGAATCATGTGAGCATCACATTGGGAATACCTACACTCAAGGGGGGTGAAAAGGAAGAGCAAGCCACAAACAAGACAGACATGTAGCAGCCGGGGCGGGAGCAGGGCCACCGGAGCAGGCGCGCCCTGCCAAGGAAAAGGTTTTCCAGAATGAGAGCCCTTCAGCTGTGGCCAGAGCCACTTGTGATACAGTCAGATGAGATCTGAATAGGGGCCGTTGTATATGCGACCAGGCAGGTAATGACTGGTTTTTATCGAGAACAATTTCAGGCCAAGCGCGGCGGCTCACACCCGTCATCCCAGCACTTTGGGAAGGATCACAGAGACAGGGTTTCACCATGTTGGCTAGACTGGTCCTGAACTCCTGATATCAGGTGATCTGCCCGCCTTGGCCTCCCAAAGTGCTGGGATTACAGGCATGAACCACTGCACCTGGCCTGAACTGTTTATTTGATTTTAATTTTAACTTATGAGAACAGACAGAGCCCCATGGATATAAGGAACCCCATGTGGCTATTGTTTTGGATGCATAGGCTCTGGACCATTCCTTGAAGACCTTTTAATTAATTAATTAATTAATTAAATTTATTTATTTATTTATTTTTTTAATTTATTTTTTTTTATTTTTTTGAGACGGAGTTTCGCTCTTGTTACCCAGGCTGGAGTGCAATGGCGCGATCTCGGCTCACCGCAACCTCCGCCTCCTGGGTTCAGGCAATTCTCCTGCCTCAGCCTCCTGAGTCGCTGGGATTACAGGCACACGCCACCATGCCCAGCTGATTTTTTGTATTTGTAGTAGAGACAGGGTTTCACCATGTTGACCAGGATGGTCTCGATCTCTTGACCTCGTGATCCACCCGCCTCGGCCTCCCAAAGTGCTGGGATTACAGGCTTGAGCCACCGCGCCCGGCTAAATTTATTTTTATATATTTTTTTGAGATGGAGTCTTGGTCTTGTCGCCCAGGCTGGAGTGCAGTGGCACCATCTCGGCTCACTGCAACCTCCACCTCCTGGGTTCAAGTGATTCTCCTGCCTCAGCCTCCCGATTAGCTGGGACTACGGGCGTGCACTACCACACCCGGCTAATTTTTTGTATTTTTAGTAAAGATGGGATTTCACCGTGTTAGCCAGGATGGTCTCCATCTCCTGACCTTGTGATCCACCTGCCTCCGCCTCACAAATTGCTGGGATTACAGGCGTGAGCCACCTCACCCAGCTATTTATTTTTGAGATGGAATCTCGCTCTGTTACCCAGTCTGGAGTGCAATGGTGCAGTTTCAGCTCACTGCAACCTTCCACCTCCTGAGTTCAAGCGATTCTCCTGCCTCAGCCTCCCAAGTAGCTGGAACTACAGGTGCATGCCACCACAGCTGACTAATTTTTGTATTTTTAGTAGAGACGCGGTTTCGCCATGTTGGCCAGGCTGGTCTTGAACTCCTGACATTGTGATCCACTCGCCTTGGCCTCCCAAAGTGCTGGCATAACAGGCATGGGCCAACCACACCCAGCCTATTTTTTGTTTTTACTTTTAGTGACATGGTCTTGCTCTGTCACCCAGGCTGGACTGCAGTGGTGTGATCCTGGCTTATTGCAGCCTTGAACTCCTGAGCTCAAGCGATCCTTCTGCTACGGTCTCCTGAGTAGCTGGAACCACAGGCTTGCACCACCACACCTGGCTAATTAAAAAAATTTTTTTGCAGGGATGGGGTCTTGCTCTTTTGCCCAGGCTCTTCTCAAACTCCTGGGCTCCAGCAGTCCTTCTGTCTTGACCTCCCAAAGTGCTGGGATTATGCCCAGCTGTCCTTGAAGTTTTGCTCAGAAGAGCAAACTTCCCGGGAAGTAGCTGTAGGGGAACTGGGGGGTCCAAAGATGGAGCTGAAATAGGTGACAAAGGGGGCAAACTGAGGCATGCCAGGGCCCTGGAGGTAGCTCTCGCTGTGCCGGGACCTGGCCTACGTGTGCTTGGTTCATTCCGTGTGTGGATCAGTCAGCTGCTTTAGTGTCTTCAGGGCTTTGGTGAAATCCTTGTGGCACCTTTGCTATCCCTTCTGCAAAATTGCTCTTAAGTCTGCTCACTCGGTTTGCATAAATACGTAGGTCTCACAGGTCTCCCCCATAACTGAACTCCTTCTGGAATCTGGAACAAAAGAAATTAGATACATTTTTTCCTCCCTCCCTCTCTCCCTCCCTCCCTCCCTCCCTTCCTTCTCTTTCTCCATCCCTTCTTTCATTTTTCTTTTTTTTTTTTTTTTTGAGACAGAGCTTTGCTTTTTTCACTCAGGCTGGAGTGCAATGGTGTGATCTCAGCTCACTGCAACCTCCGCCTCCCAGGTTCAAGTGATTCTCCTGCCTCAGCCTCCCGAGTAGCTGAGATTACAGGTGCTCGACGCCACGCCCAGCTAATTTTTGATTTGTTAAGTAGAGACAGGATTTCACCATCACCATGTTGGCAAGGCTGGTCTCGAACTCCTGACTTCAGGTCGTTCACCCTCCTCGATCTCCGAAAGTGCTGGGATTACAGGCATGAGCCACTGCACCCGGCCAACTTGTGCATTTTTTTAGGCAGGAGAAAGTTTTTTATGTGATCACCATAAATGGAAAACTTCTTCTATTTGCTGCAAACAGAAAGAAGCCACACAAGCTAAACACAATGAAAAGCAAACAAAGGTGTTTCCCTCCTAGCTAGATGGCTGTTGCCCGCTCAGGTTTTTGAGCCCGAGGCCTGCTTTTCTCCTGAAAAAGAGTAGCAAAGGGTTAGGCATTCAAAAATATTCTGGCACCCGGCTCAGCTTCTCTCCTTGACGGTCGTCAGGAGAACTGAAAAAGGAATGACTTTCTTGCTGCGTTATTCAAGGTTATTTAAAGCTGTGTGAAGTTCGCATCGCGTTGCCTCTGGCTGGGACTCTGGCATGTGAGTCTCATTTCAGAAAACTGCGTTCTTTCCCTGGCTCCTCATAGCTCCGTGGAGTAGGCTGCGCTATTACTGTCTTTTCATCAGAGGAGGAAATCTAGGCTCAGAGAGGTGAAGCCGCTCACCCAGAGTCACACAGCCGCCCCTGCCCCTAGCACGTGGGCTCTCCCTGAGTTACTCCCTGGATCTTTCTTTTCTTTTCTTTTTCTTTTTTTCTTAGACGGAGTCTTGCTCTGTTGCCCAGGCTGGAGTGCAATGGCACAATCTCGGCTCACGGCAACCTCTGCCTCCCGGGTTCAAGTGAGTCCCCTGCCTCGACCTCCTGAGTAGCTGGGATTATAGGTGCCTGCCATCATGCCCAGCTAATTTTTGTATTTTTGGTAGATATGGGGTTTCATCATGTTGGCCAGGCTGGTCTCGAACTCCTGACCTCAGGTGATCCACCCGCCTTGGCCTCCCAAAGTGCTGGGATTACAGACGTGAGCCACCGCACCCAGCCTGGATTTTCCTTTCCATGGTGAGCACCACGTGTGTGGATGGGGGATGGTGAGGACACTCCCGATGGGCGTCTCCCTTTCACTTGAGGCTCTGCAGGTGACAGTGACAGACCTCTTCATGCTCAGACTTTCTGGAGTCACTGGCTTCCTTCTCGTGGGGAAGGGGGATTATCCTCGACTCCAGTCTCTCCCTGGGGCAGTCGGAGCCAGGGTCAGGGGCAGAGCGGACTCTGACTGCCTCTGGATATGGGGTCAGTATAGACAGCCCCTCGACAGAAGTATGAACACGCAACAGAATGCTGGGGCAGGGAGGGCAGCCCTAGGTTCACACTCCATCCTCGAACCCCCAGAGGGACCTTGTGCCAGTGTGGGCGCCCCCGGACCGCCCACCCTGCCGTGGCCACGGAGGACGCCTTTGGGGCAGCCGTGGTGACCGTGTGGGACAGCGATGTGCACACCACGGAGAAGCCCACCGACGCCTACGGAGAGCTGGACTTCCTGGGGGCCACCCGAAGGCACAGCCATGTGAGGCAGGCCTGTCTGCGGGCCTGGGTGCTGGAGGGCTGCATGCTCAGGGCTCAGAGTCGAGCCGGGACCCCCGAACGCTGCCCCTCCACCCATCCTGTCTTTGCTCTCTGTGTCCCCTGCACCCCACCTGTCTTCTCTCCGACGCGATCCCCTTCCTCTCTCGGTCTCTGTGCCTCTGCGTCTCGGTCTCCCTCTGTCTCTGTGTCCCTCTCTCTGGGTCTCTGTCCCCATCTCTCTAGGTCTCTGTCCCCCTCTGTCTCGGAGTGTTTGTTCCCCTTTCTCTCTGGGTCTCTGTGCTGCCGCCTCTCTGTACCTCTGTCCCCCTCTCTCTGGGTCTCTGTCCCCCTCTCTCTCTGGGTCTCTGTCCCCCTCTCTCTCTGGTCTCTGTCTCCCTCTCTCTCTGGGCCTCTGTCCCTGTCTCTCTGAGTCTCTGTCCCCTCCCTGTGTCCCCCCCCATGTATCCACAGTTTCTCCGGCTCTCTGACCGAACAGATCCAGCTACAGTTTATAGTCTGGTCACACGCACGTGGGGCTTCCGTGCCCCGAACCTGGTGGTGTCAGTGCTGGGGGGATCAGGGGGCCCCGTCCTCCAGACCTGGCTGCAGGACCTGCTGCGTCGTGGGCTGGTGCGGGCTGCCCAGAGCACAGGTGACCGAGGGGGTGGGGCCGTCTGCCAGGCCTTGGTCTGCCTGCCATCTCCCCGCCATGCTGGGGGTCTCCCCCGCCCCCCAGTCTCTGTGTGTGTGTCTCTGTCTGACTCTTGGTTTCTCTCCCTCTGTCTCTGCGTGTTCCTTGGTGTCTGTAGGGGCCTGGATTGTCACTGGGGGCCTGCACACAGGCATCGGCCGGCACGTTGGCGTGGCTGTGCGCGACCATCAGACGGCCAGCACTGGGGGCACCAAGGTGGTGGCCATGGGTGTGGCCCCCTGGGGTGTGATCCAGAAAAGAGACATCCTCATCAACCCCAAGGTATGACCCAGGGACTTCGAAAAAGAGGGTCTGGGGCCTGGACTCCTGGGTCCGAGGGAGGAGGGGCTGGGGGTCCTGGACTCCCGGGTGTGAGGGAGGAGGGGCTGGGGGTCCTGGACTCCCGGGTCTGAGGGAGGAGGGGCTGGGGGTCCTGGACTCTCTGGTCTGAGGGAGGAGTGGCTGGGGCCTGGACTCCAGGTCTAAGGGAGGAGGGGCTGGGGCCTGGACTCCAGGCCTGTGGGAGGAGGGGCTGGGGGCCCGGACTCCCGGGTCTGAGGGAGGAGGGGCTGGGGCCTGGACTCCAGGTCTGAGGGAGGAGGGGCTGGGGGCCTGGACTCCTGGGTCTAAGGGAGGAGGAGCTGGGGGCTGGACTCTGCGTCTGAGGGAGGAGGTGGGGCTTGTGTCTGTCCTTCTGGCCCTGACTCAGAGGCGCTCTGATCTGGCCATTTTTCCCTTAGGGCTCGTTTCCTGTGCGGTATGATTGGCACCACGACCCGAAGGATGGGGTCCAGTTTCCCCTGGACTACAACTACTCAGCCTTCTTCCTGGTGGACGACGGCACGCACGGCCGTCTAGGGGGCGAGAACCGCTTCCGCTTGCGCTTGGAGTCCTACATCTCCCAGCAGAAGGCGGGCGTGGGGGGTGAGTGGCT